TCTTGTCTTTCTCTCTCTGGGACTCCAGTCACCTCAGGAGGACGAGGAGGACGCCGGCGTCGACCCGGACAGAGCTGAAGTGAGTCTGATTCTTGATCTTTTGTCCAGTGGGGAGGAGGAACCACTGCACCGACTGGATTTCCTCCTCTCACTGGTCGTTCTGAGTTTCTGAAGCTCAGCTTTAAAATCTCTTGGCTGGTCTGAGAGGAGCTTTTAGAACGATCGGATCTGGTTTCAATCGGTCAGTGTGGGAAACTTTAGCATTTTTTCAACTCGCTCCTTTTCTGAGAAGCTTTTTCTGTGAAATCTGACATTTCTAATGTTTCTGTCCTGAAGTCTGAGGTGAGCTCTATGATCAGTAAAGTCTGGTTTCACCAAAAGTGATCCATTTGAGCCTGGAGCTGATTTCTTAGTAAATTGTTGATATCAGAGATTATTAAGTTGATCAAATTCAGCACATGTTGAGTAAATTCAGCTGCTTTTAAACCAAATTAACAGAAGTTTGTGATTTTGGATTCATTTATTTTCCTCAAAGTAAAAAAAAATCACAATCAAGGACTAAATCAAAACAAAGATCTTCCAGTTCGACTGTTTCAGATAATCAGACAGCAAAAGCTCAGCAGTGAGTTTATACTTGATATGTGTTTATAAAGTGTGTGAGAGAGATAACCGCTGTAACCAAAGGCAAACGTTGGGATAAGTGGTTATAATTTATAGTTATTTCCAAAACCAAAAGAACAAAAGTGAAATAAAAACGAGCATTTCCTGTTTTTATGTGAGAATTTCTGTGTTAAATTAAAAAACTGAACATTTAATGAAAAAAATGAAGCAAACATTTTTATTTCTGTCCTTTTGGGAGGAGTTTCTGTTTACACTCAGCTGTGTCAGGAGCTTCATTTGAAATCAGCAAAAGAGCAAAAATGAGTCCAGAGTGTTGGAATGTGGAGCAGATGTTACTTTTCTTGGTATATTGTAGCTTTTGTAGATTTTAAGGCAAATATTTGATCATTTGTAAAGAATTCAAATCATTTTTTAACCAAAGTGACAGAAAACATTGAAATCTTTGACTTTTCTACGTGAAAATTTGATCAATTTCTTCATTTTAAGCTAAATTATTTAACATTTGAAGAAGTTTCCAAAACTTTTGGGTTGAAATTATTGACCGATCCAATATTTACAAAAGATGCATTCGTGAATTGCAAAAACAACCTTCTGTAACAAACTGCTGTCTGTGGAGCTTCAAACCAGATTTAAGGTCTCGAAGTTTTGTTGTTTTTGTTCCTTTTTGGTGAAATTTGCATAACTTGACTGTAAAAAATACCAAATATGTGAATTTTCCTTCGTTGATCAGTTAGTAGATAGAAAACTGCCAAAGCAGCTCCACTTCCTGGAAGGTGACTTTTTGACTGAGGAGCGTTAAAGGTCACGAGTCCATCTGTGCTTAACGTGGTTTGAGAAATGCTGTAAAAACGATCTGAAACATGTCTGCGTTACAGAGCTAATTATCCTCAGCGCTCATTCGTGTGCCTGTCTATTATCCAACACTCAGCAGTCAATACATTTCCCATGAATATGCAATCGCCTGTGTGGATGTGTTAGGTGGAGGGTGCATCGCCTCAAGCGTCCAGAGCTGGCCTCATCTGCAGGATTTCAGCCCAAAATTAAAATCTGACCAGTTTAACATGAACGATGAGGCCAAATGTGCCGATTTACTCAATCACAACACAGAGTTCGCCTTCAAATTCTTTAATCCTTCATTTATTTCATCACCCAGCTCCTCGTCTTCCAGCACGATGAGCGCCGCAGGGTTAAACTGGGACGGGGGTTTCCTTCCACAAATGAGTCATCCGCTGTTTGAGAAACACCTACAGCTCCGTCGCTAAAGGTAGCGGAGAAAATTCAGATGATTTATGGTGTTTATTTAAAGTCTGAATGTCCAGATTCACCCGGGCTGATTCACGACTGTCAGAGGACGAACAAAGCTGCGAATAATCTGCTGTGTGCTCCGGTTAAGCCAGAAATAAATGAAGGGAAGGTTGCAGTGTGAGTGGAGGGGCATTTTTGGGATAGAATAATGTAGCATAGAGAGGGCTCAGTGTGACTTTCATGGAGGAAAATGACTTTTCATTGATTTCCAGGGAATTAGATGAAACTTTCTTTTGTGCAAAGTGAAAAAACTAGCGTGCAAATGCTAAAGTGTACTTATGTAGAGGTTTTGAAAGTCAATAAGAGGTCTCAGAGGTGACAAAGGTTGCTGGGGCAGCAGCTGATGGCTTCAAAAACCTTCATAAGGTGCAGAAAAGACCCGTTTGGTGGTTTCTTGGTTTGGTGAAATGGAAAAGAAGGCGGCAGGCGGTGAGCAGGCCGGACCTGAGCGTCGTTTTTGGACTGAGACAAAGATCCATATTAACAAAAACCGCAGATGACAGATGATTAATCGGCGTGGTGGGGTTTGCCGAGCTGCCGGACCCCCGGCTGACACCCCGAGCCGCCAAACACAAAACCAAAAACCCCCCAGAGCCTCGGCGGCCTGGAGGAGCGTGGGCGAAGGGTGGAAGCAGGGCACCGTCCCCACGGAGCTGTGTGAGCTCACATGTGTGTGTGTGTGTAAGGAGTCAGAGCGACAGATTTGAACTGAAAACCAGAGAATCTGTGTGTGTGTCTGTGTGTGTGTGTTTGTGTGGGAGTGTTTAAGCATCAGAAAGTGTGTGTGCATGTGTTTCCTGTGAATGTGTGTGTGGACAGAGCAAACCCCCCATCTGCCACAGGGTGGGCGGCTCGCCACACAACGACAATACACACCAACATTTTTGTAACTGTGGGCGTTCAAAAGGCTCGGAGAGCTGCAGCTCAGCAGAAGGCTTCGGCTCCAGCAGCTCTCCAATCAGCACAGCAAACACACGCTTTCAAAGCTCCTGTTTAACCTCCAAACACTAAAAAACGTTCGCTTTCTCTTCTGCGGGCGATTCCTGCTGAACACAAACAGAACGTAAGTCACAGATTTGGTCAAAGCCTCGAGTTCAGGCCTGAAGAGCTGCAAACACATATGTTAACGTGCCGTTGATTCGATTTCTAATTCTTCCTCCGGGAGCTCGAGCGACTCCACGGGTTTCATAAGACATCTGCCCAGAAACTGCTGAGATCTCCAAAAGAAATGCGTGTGGTAACCAGTCCATATTGCAGTGCAGCGTCAGTGTGTATGCAAGGTCCGCTCAGGCCTGAGGAGCATGAGCTTCATCATCAGAAGATCATTTAATCCAAATACAACACAAACAAAGTCTAACACGGAGTTCTGGGGCCATCAGAAGGTTAGAGTGTGCTTATTTAATGGTGGTGTCGTTTCCACAGTCATTTCTCTGGTAAATTGACCCGTCAGAAAGTGCTTCTGTGTTTTCACACGACACTCAGTCGTCAATCCACATCTCTGTCTGCCCACTGTCTCACCTCTAGCACACACTCAGTGTGGCGGAGCTGTAGGGAAGACCAACATGACGACCGGTCAGTGGCGGGGACATCGCGTGGGTTTGTTAGCCAGCAGGGTTACAGAGGACTTTGTCACCAGGATGGTTATGAAGGTGCAGACGGTAGCAGGTCTTTGTTGTTTTGTGGATGATGAGGTTGTGAAGAGAGTTGGCTCTTCCAAAGCTGAGGCCATAAAAGGCTGGAAGCCGTGCTCCAGGTTGAGGAGGAGTTGTTGGACAACTTCAAGCATCAGGTTCTTGTTCATGAGTGGGTGGAGAGAGGAGCAGCAGAGCTGAATTACCAGTTGATCTTCCTCCCCTCACCTTCAGAAAACTCTGAAACATGACATGAAGCGTGTTTTCAAATCCACATCAGTCCAGTTTGAGCAGCAATAGAAGAGAAAACGAGC